GGTTAGGTACCACCACTATGCCTGCCTAAATTCTGCCGTGAAGCAGTAATGCGTTTCGGTTTGAAGGGTGGGGCAGCCGTTGTAACTATACTTGAGACCTTAAAACTTATATCTCAAGGTGGGTGACGCATTTACGTTGTAGATGTCTATGGGCTCCAGTAACCACTTAACACCGGGTGGGCTGTGAGCTCGTCCACCCATCCAAGCAATAAAAAATCTACTCCGGCCCGTCGTATTACCGCTTCTAGAAACTATTTTCCTATTCTAAAATGTATGCAATCACGAGCAAATTACATTAATACTAATTTTTTTTTTTAAAGTATTGCCCCTTTTTTGTTTTATTATTCATCCTTAAAGAGTACTTCAGATTTTAATCCAAGCACTTATATGTATGTATTACAAGAGGTTTTCGAAGATGTCTTTCAAAATGTCGGCTGAAGTACTACTTCAGTTTATATGTCCGGGGTGCCAGACAGGGTATGTCTAATTCCAACTTTTATTATTTATGCCCGTGTAGGCAGATGGTGAGTAGCTACCGTTGCTCATGGACGTCCTTAATTCCAGAGGCAGAACCAAGCCGCTGCCTGACCTACCTTACTAACTAATAAGTACCTAATATTACTGGTGGTAAGACCTCTTGTGAGTCCGCACGGGTAAGTACCACCAACCTACCTATTTCTGCCGTGAAGCAGTAATGCGTTTCGGTGTGAAGAGTGGGGCAACCGTTGTAACTATAGTGAGACCTTAGAACTTATATCTCAAGGTGGGTGGCGCTTTATGTAGTATGTAGTAAATGTCTATAGGGCTCCAGTAACCACATAACACCAGGTGGGCTGTGAGCTCGTCCACCAATCAGCAATAAAAAAATAAAATGTAAATTACTAATAGCTTGTCACTCAGCAACCTGCGTACGAAGCTCGGATTAGAGAGCTCCATCAAGGCTGGAAGAAGGCCGAGTGACGCGTTATAAAAAAAAAACTTAAATAATATTGCTTTTATGGTTTGTGACAATATATACGAAATGTTTCAAATGTTAACTTTTAAGTTTCACACAGTTATTTCGGTTCTGTGTTTAGATATTTAATTATCAAATATATGTAGAGGTCAATTTATGGAATGATTTTAGTTTCTGTGATGTAGTTCATTTAGTATAAACGCGTGTACCTACTTATATAATTGATCATTGTCTTAATTATTCCACCTCCACCACCATACTGCTTTTTTTTATTAATACTTGTCTTAATGTATAATCAGACTGCAGAACGATCAGGATAGGATGAAGTTGTAAGGGTTCCGTGATATTTATGTAATTTGAAATCATCATGGCCTATAGGATAAAACGCCCATTGTTTTTGCCCAGTGATTTGACCGGTTTGACCGGTATTATGCCGGTGTTCGCATCCCGCAGGCAGGTACAAATTTGTAAGAATGTTAATCCGTCTAAACAAAAGAAAGACTACTTAAACCTATTAAGAACAGAGTAAGAGTGATATTACTAGAAAATGGAAACACTCTTTATGTAGGTACCAAGAAAATGTTGCGAACTAATTGAGTTAAATGGCTACAAAGTATCAAACTTTAAACCTGCAACACGCGATGATGGCCTGTTTGACGCACTCAAATAGTAAACCAAGGAAAAATGTAATCAAACCCGAATCGGGGCTATCAGTCTATTTTGACACTTGTAAGTAGTAGCTATTGAAAATTAGACATTTCATTTTCGTTTAAACAAAATATTTACAGGACAGCCCGTATTACAAAATTGGTATTCACATCTATTACATGAAATATCTACACGTGTGGGCTTACAATACGCCATACCATCAGTATTTTTGTAACAATATTATTCCTTCATTGTGGCTTAAAGGCGTACATACGTATGCCTTTAGACAAAATTAAACTTATCGGCGGGATTCGAACACCGGCATAGTCTCATCGCTTGATATGAATACACCTGCCGTCTTTTCCGTTAGACCAAACATTTCCAAAACACATTAGAATTCAATCTCGTGTTTAATTTAACATTTTACAATTCCAACTTACAATTAAGAATTTTTAATAAATCTACATTTAATTGTTTTAGTACTCTGTTTACCTTTCCATCAAATTGGGTTCCTGTTCCATTCATTTCCAAATAATTTCATCATCGTTTTTCTTTTAAATGTTCGTATTTTGCGTTTTCTTAGTTCTAGAATTACTAAAACCCAAATCATATGTTCCATAAGTTCATACATAAAAGTACCCCAAATAGACATTGTAATATGTATAAATGTAGGTAATAAACTATAGGTTTCAAGAATAAACGCGAACGAGTACCACCAAACCGGCACCTACATGATTTTAATTTAAAACTTCCTTTGTTTAAAATGAATAATAATTTTTGGAGGTCTTCTTTGCGTTGAAACTTCTTTCATAGCAGCAGTCTTCTAGCGTAGAGAATAAATAATCTTTGTGTTAGTACACTACAATTATGGCTTGTGCTTTATTGAGTTGCTGGCACTTGACAAGTTTTCGGCATAGTGTCATCGGCGCACCACAGATGGCGTGCGAGTAGTTATAATATATAGTATAAATAAATTGGGGTACATAATTCATAGATTTATTGATATTCATAACGAAGCGTGGCCGGGACTTACCAGTAGCTTCCGAAAAACATTACTTTCGTTGTATTTATTTTTCATCCAGGAAGATATGTATTTTTCTTGTTGTCTGTTCTGGAGTAAAAGGATGATACGGATGCACACATACAGTTCGCCTTGTGAAAAGAAAAAGAGAAACTCTCCGAGCCAGGCCCACGCCGATATCAATGCTCTTATGTCGCGGTATCTCCACCATTGGCATCTCTTCTTCAATTTGTTCACTTTTAAAACAATTAAGTTTTCTAAAACAATTACGTAGATTATTAATAGGATTCAACGATGCTTGAGTTCCCGGTATTCTGGGAAGGTATTGGTGCTTTCTTTCGTCGTAATTTTCCGTTTTTTCTAGCTTTTTGTATCTTTTCTTTTTGTAACGGTTCGATTCTTCAGATCTCACTGACTTGACGAAGGGCCTCGTTGTTTCCGCAAGAGCGATCAGGGAATAATCATCGCAGCTCATAACTTTTGTATATTTTTTCTTTACATTGTTGTTATGGTCGTTTATCAAGCCAGAGTGAGCCACTAGAGCTAAGTTTTGGCATTGATTGAGTGTGACGTGTTGTGCGCTTAAGATAAGATTTCCAGATTACTGTGATTATGCTGACATATCTGTGTGATTTTTATGTGCAAGATTATAAAATATTAAAATTCTTAAACCACCGTTTACACCTCGTAGAGGCAGCTAGTATAGTATGGAAGAAATCGGACAAAAACCTGAATTGCACTAACGATATTTACAAGTTACGCTTGCATGTACCTATACCCAACAATGTCCACTCGGTTCGCGTTTCCGATCCGGTGGTAGATTCTGCGAAGCACGGCTCTTGCTAGGGTTCGTGTTAGCAACGTCATCAGGTTTGAGCCCCGTGAGCTCACCTACAAACGTTAGGGTTACGCTGAAATAGCCCCTAAGGATATCAGCTTAGGTAGGAAAAAAAAAAGTCCACTCGGACCATCGGTCTAGAGAGCAACACCCTGTCGATAGAAGATCTTTCCTTTTTCGTTTTCGCCAAAGTGTTTTGTCTCTCCGATACCCCATAATTTAATTTTTTTACTGTATTAAAACTTATTATAGTACCTACATATATAGACACATATATTTTATGTTTTCGCTACAGTGATGTCAATATGGAAGACACAAACAGTGAGAAACACATTTAACCAACGGTCAATATATCTATTTAGAGTGGGAAAAATCACTTGGAGATAGCTGGAGATCATAAAACAGAAATGAGTTATTGTCTCAAACAAGCCCACTGAGTTTCTCGGTGGATCTTCTCAGTGGGTCGTGTTTCCGATCCGGTGGTAGATTCTGTGAAGCACTGCTCTTGCTAGGGCTAGTGTTAGCAACGTCGTCTGGTTAGAGGCCCGTGAGCTCACCTACGCGATCGGTTAGGCTGGCATAACCTCTCAAGGCTACCAGCGTAGGCAGGAAAAGAAAAAGTCATAAACAGAGTCAAGAAAATAAGACAATACAGTTCGAGCAGTCTATGAAAACAATACATCACGGAAAAGTGTGACCAAATCAATTTCAACCTTGTGATCGCTAACCATGAGACGGCCTCCATCGACCTGTCCTGTTCAGCTTCACTGGGCTCAAGAATTTTCACTAAAAACTTCAAACGTACGAACTGTGATTTTGTAGGTGGCTTACATTTTCATTTGCCTTAAAAAAAGTAATCTATACTAATATATAAATCTACAGTGGTTTTTACGGATGTTCCTTTATCACTACTGAACCATGCATCCGATTGACTTGAAACTTGGTATCCGTGTAGAATTGTAGAAAATACATGTAATTAATGGATAGGCTAATATTTATATGAGTGTCGGACCCCCTACACCAGTTGCGGGGGCGTTAATGATGAGAATCTTTGTGGGGGTGAGAAATAATAATGTTAATTTTAAATGCCCACCGAAGCGGACGGATACGGCTAGTTATATAATAAAAATACGGGATAATAATAATTATCATAAAAATACGGGAGTGCTTTTCAGAAAGCGTAGTTGATTTGCATGACAATTAATTATCGTGTTAAAAATGTGAATGATAATGACGTATTTACTTAATGCGCTATATGAAAATTAAAACATAATGCATTTAGTGACGTATATAGTTGCTCTGGTAGTCGAACGTACTGAAGCCAGTGAAATTTGAAATTCAAATTTATACAAAATACATTTGCTTTTTTCAAAGCAACTACGTGCATCAACATTTATTCGTGCTCTCGTTTTCCATATTAACGTAGATATTCTTTGTATTTCGTCCTTTTCTTTCCTCGTGCTATTAGGTCTGGTTAGAGCAGCACAGACTATTCTAGTGAACTAGTGCGCAAGCGTTCGCGTCATCGCAGTTTTCCCAACGGAGCGGTATTACGAACCACAATAAACGAACGCCTTGAGTCACACAGTTCTCTTCGTATTGTGATATTAATCGTGAAGGTTGAAACTGGTGCCATGTTTTGTTATTTATTTTAAAATATTTCATTACAGGTAAGCTTTATGCTGGTCTTTAAAAATCTCGCAAAATTATTTTGGTTTTGGCTGATACTAACAAATGCTTGGTCGTCCACTAATTTCAGATAAACAATCTTATTAATCATGTGATCAAATTCTGTTTTATTGTTTCGTCTTAAATGGTGGTTGTGAAATCACTTCATTACCTTATTTTGTTTTTGTTACAAAATTATATACCTATGTAACTATAAAGTATCTTAATCTAATAGCTCGTATATTAAATAATCAGAACTATGACATTATATGGCTATAAGTAGTAGTTTATCTTAATTTCCAAATGTTTTGTTGTTTTTTTAACAGTATTTATATTCTTCGTTATACACATCATATTTATAGATATTTATATAACATAACTTTAATTGTTACACCCCTAAAGAAGGCAAATTAATATTATATTTAAGTGCAAAAAACAACGGTCATGTTTATAGATAACAGCGAAGTCTTTCAGAAAACCATACCACAGGCAAGATATTTACGGGGAATCAAAGCGGCCATGTACCTAATTGGTATTATTGTACTGTTTATAAAATCCAAATTTAACTTTGATTATTTTACTAAATCGAACGCTGGCCGCGGACAATGAGACGCCATGTACTTAAAAACATTATGTAAAAATAAGAATATTTGTCATGTTCTAGAATACAGTGTTAAATGTTTTGAAAATTTAAATACACGTGAATATCACCCGAAGGTATTGTTTAGGGCGTTAAACCCACAAAGTTGTTGCTGCTGGCTTGTATATTTTTATCACAATTGAACAAAAGCTATCAAGTGTTTCGCTTTGAAGTATCATGATAGCATTTTTATTTATTTATTATCTTCGCCTCCACCTTCGCGTACCTCATTATTGGCGGTCGTGAAACGTAATTTCCATTTAATCATTCTTAGGCTGACTATGTGTCGTTGTTTAGTCATGCACTTATTAGTATTTAGGTTTTCCGCCGAATATTTTCCGTATTTATAGTGTTTCCGTTACCACTAATCATCAGCTGGGCGGTCATCTCACATAACTATGCTTGCTAAAAGCATGTAAGCTTTAATATTACGTCACAATTCACGTTAGGTATAAAGATCATAATATAGCTAGTCTTTACTTAATTGAATATTAATATGTATTCTAATTAACACAATTAACTCAAAAATAAACGACGTAGCAGTTAACTCGCCGCACCTATCGACAATGTTATTATAAATAATTAGTAATTGTTAGTGTTACCTACTTTTCTTCATACGAATGATGTCAGCCTCCTTTAAATGTCACCTCTTTATTAAAGTATTTTACAATTGGTTTTAAAACTAATCGGACAAAACTAAAAACAAATTTACAGGACTAGATAATTTGTACAGTAATTGATGAGGACTTCCGATTCTCGGGTAGCTTATAGCTAAGTTACCTTATGTATCTTGTATGAGGTATAAAGGCTCCACAATATAAACAATATCGTATTGTAGGTACATAAAATGCACACGCATTTTTCTCTACTTTTAGTTGTAAGGTAGGTTGAAGTCGTAGATAAGGTAGGTATGTTCTGAACTCTTATGAGTAGGTCCCGGCGTTCTGTTCGTTTTTGCTTAGAAATATTCGTGTATATTTGTTTGAAGGGCAGTTTCATAGTTATTACACGGTCACCGTTGTAATCGTACTCGTCAAAAAATAATTCCACCTGCAACCTAGCCCGTAGACACAATCCGACGAGTTTCTCGACGGATATTCTTAATGGGTCGCGATTTCGGTTGTAGATTCAGCGAAGCACCACTTTTGCCGGGGCAAGTGTTAGCAAATTCTCTCAGGTTGAGATCGCGTAATCCCACCAAAATTTTTTTTCATTACTCTGCTGATAGTCTTGCTCACAGGGCTCAAACCGGAAGTGTTGCTAACACTGGCCCTAGCAAGAACAGTCCTTCGCAGAATCTTCGCAGAACCGGATCGGAAACGCGACAAACTGAGAAGATCCACCGAGAAACAGTGGTCTGTGTCTATGGGTTAATTGTTGGGTGTTTCTGGTACCTAAAAGCACACGTTAATGGATCGGGTTGATCTATAATGACGTGCTTCGAGCGACGTCGACTGTTTACCATTCGGTCCACAGAATCGGGTATGTTATTACCGGCGGCCACGACAAGAGGATTATCATGGCGTGCCGCCTTCTCGAAGTGGCGCAATTATGCCTACTGTAGATACGTACTGACTGAGTCAAGCTCCAGGTCATCATGGAGGTCCACGTTCCTTAGGAACCATGGTTCTCCGACGGCTATCCTGCAAAAACGGGATTGAATGACTTGAAGGGGTTTTAAGTTGGTGCGGGCCGCGTGAGCGAACACTAGGCTTGCATAAGACATGACGAGGCGTATGCAAGTTTTGTAGAGTGTCATCTTATTACGAAGGGACAATTTACTTAGCTTGCAAATCATAGGATAGAGGCGTCCTAATATGAAGGCGGCACGGACGCGTACCGTTTTAATGTGGGGTCGGAATGTCATCCCCCTGTTGAGGGTAACGCCTAGATATTTGACCTTGTTAACGCGCCTATTAGGGAGTGGGCTGCTCGAAGTAGTATTCGGAGGGCAACCCCTTTTGAAGAGCACCGCTGTGCTTTTTCGTGGGGTTGATGTCAATGCACCACTTCCAGAACCGTTCTCCCGTGGTGACTACTGCGATCTGGAGTCGCCGTTGCAATAGCGACTTCTTCCTACACGAGTAGTAGATAGCCGTATCATCGGCGAAGAGCGCTAGATGGGTCTCCGGAGACCGGGGTATATCATTGATATACTTCTTCTCAGTCGTACACTCCTGGCGGAGTGGTCGTGGCTATGTATGTCTTATTGCTTGGTTGCGGCTTTAGAGAGACATTTGTCGAACGCCGTTGCGATATCGAAGAAGAGGGCTTCGGTCGGGATTGGTTTCCGCCTATTTAGCCCTATTAAGATGTGCTCCGTGAGACGTTGCACTTGTTGTATGCACGAGCGTTTGGCGCGGAACCTAAACTGCTCGTCGATCAAAATCTTTTCGATCGTCGACTAGCTCGGTGTGTTCGGGGTCCGCGATTTGAGTACTAGTGGGGCACTGTCTTGCAGTGCATCGGCCAGTAATTCTGCCTTGTCATCGTTATCGTAAGCCGGTGGTTGGCCTGAAGGGCGTACGAGGGGAGACATAGTAACGATAGTTTCGGACTTGAGGGCCCTAGCTAGTTGCCAGTATGCTTGTTGAGAGGGCGCGAGTTCTTCTAAATAACTATCCCGTTTCTCATTTCGGGCGTCGTTTAAGCGGAATTTGACTTGACCGCTGTAGACGACGCATTCGAATCCTGTTTGATTCCGTGGTATATAATGATTTCGTGGGGCAAAAAGTCGTTAAAATGTGCCTAACATCTATAACCTGTAAATTACAATATATTTGCAATCTTGTAAATAACAATATAACAGTTGTTATCTCTTAAGTTACCTTTTAGAAGGTTATTTTATTTATTATTTATCGAATCGAATTCAAATAGAATGCTTTTTAGGTTAAAAAAATCCGTATAATTGTAATAATTCATTCTTAATGAACAATATACAACTTAAAAATTATGTTGCTGTTAATATTTGTTTCCACATTCAATATGGGATCAAAGCTTATCTCGATTGATCTAGTTAAGTCCGAAGTGTCAGTATTTTTTGTTTTAACAGCTTTTACTCTCTCACACACATTCTTTGTAGTCATCACATTATCAAGAGATAAGCAAAGCCGACTGTGATAAAGTGTTCTAGATAACATTACGCCATTTTGAAACTAAGTAAATACAAATATAGAACTTATTTACTTGTAATCAAGTTTCGAATTCGTTTTACTTGTACGTAAAAGATAAGGGTGTCACCTGCAATATTTAATATGCTTCGGATATATTGAATGTTCTTTTCGTCTATTTTAGTTATAAAACCGAATAACAGGAGGATGGGTCTCTGTTTTTCATTCGACTGTGGGGATTGTGACCTGTGTGTAAACCCCTGCTGTTTAGCATTGAGCGCTTGTTGTCTGATTCCGTGTCTGTGTCCGAACGCCTGTGGGCAACAGCAACAACAACAACAGCCACCACAGACCATCCACGTGCATCATCCTCCAGTGATAATCGAGCAGCAACCACCTCAACCCGGATATCCCTACCCTCCACCACCAGACGGAGGCTATCCCGGTTACCCTCCACACCAGCAACCAGGATATCCGGGTTATCCTCAACCGCCATCGTACCGATGAAAAGCCATTGATCGTTTCTAAAGGTGAGTTAAGTGGACGGCCTCTTATAAATTATAGGGTTATTACGCTTTGCATTGGCACGTACAAATATGTATGTATATCATTTTATTTTAAAGTTACTCGGGCTAAAAAGAAGATACAACACTTTATAATATAGCTGCTGCCCTAAAAGCTTGCGGTAATGGAATGTGGAATATCTAGTAGTGGTGATAATTAAGAATATGAACCTGTACCTGTTGTACAGGTAATTAACCTGTAGATTAGCACTTTTTTCTGGATGAAAGGTACCTATTGTCTTTTCTGTACCATTGACAGCGTGTATGCAAAATTTTATGGTAATCGGCTTAGTAGCTAAAAAGTGAAAGGGTAAGTAAGAGGTTTGTATGGACACAAAAAAGTAAATTAATAGTAATTTAATACTCAGCAGTAGGCAACGGCTTGGCTATTCCCTTGGCATTGTTGATATCCGTGACCGACGCGGCGACGCCGCGACGGTAACTACTTAGTAGGCCTAAGCTAGTCTGGCTACGAAATAATAAATTACGATGCTATTTCTGAATAACAAATTTTCCTGACAATATTTGTAAGGAGATTTTTTTTTATATTCTAAGTAGTTACCGAGAACATATAATAGAACATTAATAAGTTTATTAAAGTAAGTAAATAATAAAATAACTATATGCCGTGTTTATCTTATCTATAGTGAATAGTAGTAACGTTAGTCAATATAGTATGTGTCATTGTTTGGTATTGGCCCGTAGACATAACCCACTCCGTTTCTCGCCGGCTCTTCTCAGTGGGTTGCGATTACGTTCCGGTAGTAGATTCTGCGACACACTGCTCTTGCTAGGGCTAGTGTTAGCAACGTCATCTGATTAGAACCCCGTGAGCTGACTTACCAGTCACAACATAGCTGGAATAGTTCCTTAGTCTAAAAGCCAATAAGTTTAGGTTAAGTTATTTAGGTTATTTATAAAATAACGGACTGTGTATCATGAACGAATAAAAGCGGCCGAATAAATATTGTAAATTAAGTTAGCTTCTTTTAACATTCGAATTTTTTTTTTATATTTTATTTATTTATTTATTTATTTATTTATTTATTTATTTATTTAAGGATTACCGACAGGGTTTACAGTAAGACATAAAATAACATTGACATGTATAGAGCAATTGATAACTGCAACTCTAATTATAGGCAATCACAGCATGCATTACATTAATATATTAATAGAGATTTAATAATACTATTAATAATAATAAAAAATTAAAAACAAAAGAAAGACAACAAGGGCAGTAATACCCAAGTACTCAGACCAAGGCTGAGGCTGAGGTTCAACAACAACTTTTTATAATTTTGTTCTTAAATATTGGAAGGGAATCGCCAAATATGTCAAGGTTTTCAACTTTTCTAACTAGATTATTATAAAGGTTAGTTAGACGAGGAGTAGGTGAGTGCTTGCCTAGATTGGTTCTGCTGAAGCGGGTGCTGAAAAGAGCAACGGGGCGACGAGGTAACCTAGATGGCACCTTCAAAGAGAATTTATTGAGGATGAATTGGGAGTCGACAGTACCGCTCATAACTTGATGTAAAAAACATAAGCCTAACATATCGCGGCGATCACTCAATGTTTGCATTTTAAAATATTTAGCCCTATCAATATAAGATTCAACATAATTAGGCGGCCTAAAACGGTACGACATGTGGCGAAGTAACTTTTTTTGAATTCTCTCAATCCTGTTAATATGGATGATATTAATATAATATTAATATTAATGATATTATATGTTATTTTAATGGAAATGAAAATTTTAACTTATTTTTTCCTGTAATAATATTAAATTATCAGCAAATCTATAAGTATAAAACTATAAAAATAATATAAGAACGACGTAAATCCCTGATAATTTATAATCGTAACAAACAAGGTATCATAAAATATTATCACCGTGTATCGAACATTATCTGTCCGAACATTTCATATTAATCACTGGTTTATTAAAGTGAAAACTGCTTAGAAGGTTAGTTAGGAACACTGGTTACATTCAAATCTTTCACAAAATGTGTGTCTTGAGAAACATTTTATTACTTAATATGTTCTTTGACGTGCTTACGGGAAATAATATTTCCTACAAAACTGTATGCTATGTCAGTGCAGTTAAATGTTAATGCGTGAAGTGCCTAATCTATACTGTATTGATAGAGCAACCTATCGAGCGCTTTCCGTTATTCAAACATTTTACTTATTATTGTTACTATAATTTCAGAATGGGTTGCAATATCTCGTGTCGACCCTGTTGCTGTTGCTGCATTCCGTGCCTTTGCTGCGATTGTTGCGGTGATCCTCCGCAGCGGACCACCGTGGTACACCATCACCACCCTTCACCGAATCAACCCGCCGTCATCATCAACCAACCACCACCTCCATACAGATAGATATATACTGAATATGTGATTAGTTTCCCTAAAAATTTAAATGCGATGTAGAACCAAATATTTTAAATTTAAGTTAAAATACGCTACTGGTTTTCATATAAAAATATTACCATTATGCATTTCAGTTTATAAGACTATAATGTGAGGGACGCGACAGACGGAACAAAATTCATTTCAATACTAAGGTTATTTATTTACATTATTTGGTTACATTTAGTTTACAGGGACATTATAGAAGTATTTATTTATATTTTCATATAATTAACTATAATCTGATATCGAGAGAACGCAGTAATTCCATTGATGGACATTATTAAGTCCAATATTAATTTAGTAAAATATTGAAATTAAATCTATGATGTATTTATTTTAAGAGTACCGAAAGTTATGCGATATTAAGAATTACAGTTTAATTAAAAATGTATATAATGGATAATGCTGTTTATTATTTCAGTCAAGCTAGTTTTCTTAGATAGGAATAATCTTGTCAATTCCTTTTTGAAACTTAATCGTTAATAATTAATTTGTTAATTTCTTTTTATGTTCTTTCTTTTTCTTTCTTTGTATCTATTTCATCTTATTTAATTTTACACGATAATTTGTCACACAAACGAGTACTTACCGACTCAAAGAGGCTTTGAAATCATTACCTACATATCATTCATGTTTATGCTGTTTTAAAACAAAATAATAAACAATATAGAAATTATATCCATAAACTTTTATTTGTTGAATAATAGTAATAAAGTGTTTTAATATTATATTTTTACTTTTCAAACGATTATTGACCTGAAATAGAATATGCATTCCATGCTTTTCTTCAAACGGGGTCGAAGAAAGAAATACTCTTGGATGGGTATAGAGACCATTATTTTTGTATGAAAAAACAGGAGAAGGAGCATTATAATATAGGTTACTTTAGTTACTTTTTTTATATGACGCTTAGCGATATAGTTTCTAAGATGACTAGTCTACTTTATCGGTAAAACTTAATGTGTTTTATACTTAAGGTTCGTCCAAAGTTAATGTACACAAATTTTTTTTTTCTAAACGATTATTTGCGAGCGCCATTATTACACATTTGAACTAATTTTTTTTCATACAAATATTAAATTTCAGTATAATTTAAAATTCAATGAAAAACAGTAGAAAACAGTACAAATAGAAGTCGTCGTGGCCTAACGGATAAGAGGTCCGGTGCATTCGTGTTGAGCGATGCACCGATGTTCGAATCTCAGGCGGGTACCAATTTTTCTAATGAAATACGTACTCAACGAATGTTCACGATTGACTTCTACGGTGAAGGAATAACATCGTGTAATAAAAATGAAACCCGCAAAATTATAATTTGCTTAATTACTGGTGGTAGGACCTCTTGTGAGTCCGCGCGGGTGGGTACCACCACCCCGCCTATTTCTGCCGTGAAGCACTAATGCGTTTCGGTTTAAAGGGTGGGGCAGCCGTTGTAACTATACTTGAGACCTTAGAACTTATATCTCAAGGTGGGTGGCGCATTTACGTTGCGGATGTCTATGGGCTCCAGTAACCACTTAACACTAGGTGGGCTGTGAGCTCGTCCACCCATCTAAGCAAAAAAAAGAAGAAAAAAAAAAGACATTTATGCTTTACGTACTGTATGCCATAAACAGTACAAATGGTCACCGTATTTATTGATAAATAAGGTCTTAACCTTAGACGAAAGTAAATCTATACTGTAATTTTGTCTTCATTTCACATACAGCTTTACTTTTAATAGTCCTAAACTGACATTGCAGGACTGCTTCTCGTCAAACCCGTCGCTTACTACGAAGGATTCGGTGAGTAAAGTAACCCATAGACACAGCCCACCGAGTCTCTCGCCGGATCTTCTCAGTGGGTCGCGTTTCCGATCCGGTAGTAGATTCTGCAAAGCGCTGCTCTTGCTAGTGTTAGCAACGCTCCTAGGTTAGAACCCCGAGAGTGTGTCGTTATAGTGTCGTTAATGGTCTGTAAACGCAATAGAAAACATCCATTTGACTGACTCGGTGTTGCAGTGGTTAGTGCTTCTAACCGTTGCGTCGAGGATCGTGGGTTAAATTCAAACACAGGGCAAACTTTCGTGCTATGAACAGATTTGTTGGCCCTTTGTCACGGTGTTGATTATTTATTTAAGCATATATTTACGTTTTACGAATTTCGTATGCTATTAACATAAACAGGTCTCCTTATATGTAGGAAATGCGCGCGGGCTTTTCAACTTTCCAGATTGTTAAGGAGCCTTTGTGCTGCCGATTATGGTAGAACGCATAGGTAAAAAGCGAATCGATATACTATCCAAGTGAAACATTGACCTCACATCTCAATAAGAAACTGGGAGCTATGTTGCGACCACTACCACAACCCAACGTTTACAATGCCGGAGTTTATTTGAGTGTTAGGGAAGGTTGGATTTTAGTGCCACGGATGATAGCATGACTGCACCCATAACACCTTTTCAATAGGATTATTGACGTCATTGTATGGTAGGCATTGACGCAAAATCTTTTATTTAGTACCGAAAAACAGCGAGGATTTACATACTCATACCTACATACCACGAATAACAAAATTGCGTAATACTGAGTACGTTTCAGTATTATCCGCTTAAATTTTTGATGACTAATGAAAATTTCCCGTTCCAAACATTTTGATAAACGTCACAACTTACACTTTATGACTAATATGTAGATAAGCAGCACTGTAAGCTGATATAAGCTCTTGGATCTCTATCAATCGAATTACGAGATTTGGATGCCGAACGCTAAATTAATTTTTATGTTATTAGCGTTTTATAACGCAGTAGTAATTATATCTACTAGTGGTACCGCAGTAGTCGAAATTCGACTATAATTAATCGAAATTATAAGTTTCAACATTATTATGGTTCTATTGTTACAGATTTCGCTAAGACTACACTATAGACAAATACTCGTAATATTGAAGATAAACAATATTAACCTATTCTCAATTTGACATATTTTTTTTATTGCTTAGATGTGTGGACGAGCTCACAGCCCACCTGGTGTTAAGTGGTTACTGGAGCCCATAAATATCTACAGCGTAAATGCGCCACACACCTTGAGATATAAGTTCTAAGATCTCAGTATAGTTACAACGGCTGCCCCACCCTTCAAACCGAAACGCATTGTTGCTTCACGGCAGAAATAGGCGGGGCGGTGGTACCTACCCGTGCGGACTCACAAGAGGTCCTACCACCAGTAATTACGCAAATTATAATTTTGCGGGTGACTACAGACTTTAAGCAATAACAAAAGTTTGACAATAAACAAAGAGTATATGTGTGTGTGTCAAATACATGGTAGTGTGTGTAATGTTTTCTTTATTGATTTAATGTATGTTACCTCCATATTTTTTTAAAAATATTAGCATTCTGCACTTCTTCTCTATTTTCTTTAAAAGTGTGGAAAATTTCATACTCCTTCTCCTAATTTTTGTAAAAAGGGGTACAAAGTTTTTGCTTCATGTATTAATATAGATGCCGACACGAGTACCCTATACAAATTGGAAGTGCCTTTACTTTTTTTTTTGCATTCGTCATTCTCCTATACCGAAATACCAAGAAATGAGATTTTCAAGAAGATAATTAATGGTTTTGTATTGTGATATTTATATCAAGACGTACCTAACTACTTCAACTATTGATGTCGACCAACTTACCAACCTACCAAAAGCTTACCAATAACTTATAATAATATGATGAAGTAACAGCCAAAACATTTTTACTGGTAACTTGCTATGGGCACCAATGGCTCGAAGGCACAGTACTGCCTATTTCTACCGCGGTGCAGATATACGTTCCCACTTTTAATGCAATGATTTCTTTCATAGTATCGAAGTGGCGGCGTTCAGGTTGGTCAGTAAGGCTTAATGCTTGTTCATGTTAATGAAAAACACTTATTATGTGCTGGAAAGACGTGTTCGACTGTTTAACTTGAAAATTTATCTGTAAACTTAATGCTCTGTACTTTACTGTAAGTTTAAGGCCAGGCAAAGGAATTTAGTGCAGGAGCGTCAAACTCGTTTCCTTATCTGTTCCACATAATACTTGGAACCGTGATTAATGTGAGATACCATTGTTTTTATCGTATTAAAGAATCGATAAATAAATACTAAAGCTGTTTTCACATCGAAATTTAAGAGTGAACCTAACCTATGAAATTCAATATTATTTTTTGAAATTTTACCTAAATTCTATTTCAATAGGTACGTGCAACGATATTGTTTATTGCACCGAAGTCAACGGTTTTATTTCATTTGTGTTTTTGATTATCAAATTTTCCGGAAAACACATTATGATAATTTATTTATGAAATAGAGGAATAATTACGACCGCAATAAATAAGTTCTAAAATATTGTATTTAGTGTATTCAAGCCTTTAGCCTTCATCCATTTGATAGTTTATCAAAAGTAGATAATAATATGACGGCGACTCTACGACGAATACTGAAAAAAATTGTTGATATTATATTCAGCTAATCTACTAGAACCGGCGCCGGCGTACACTTTAGTTGCGTGCAATCGCACATTTCAAATATTCACGAATAAGGACTTACACGATCATGTGAGTTAAAAATTTAATTAATTGTACGATTAAATTATTTAGAGTATCCGAAACATAATGTGTGTTTTGTGATTATTAAACCACCAATTAGAGGGACGCTACTTAATTATTGAAGGGTTTTTTAAAAGAAATTCCGATATATCGATTAAGACAAGCCCGTGCGGGTGGGGATCCCACGTTTTTCTACTGTGAAAAAAAAAAGCGAATACAATTTTCTTTGGTAATAAATAAATTTTAAACTTGTTTATTGACGTTATCGGCCATTTTCATCTTCCTATTTCATAGTAATACATAGTTTCATGTTGACTGTTAACCGTAATGGTACATTAAATATTTCGAATTCCAGATCGAAATGGGTGCCTGCAGCAGTTGTTGTGAGTCGTCGGATAATGGTGTGAACGTAGTCGATAATCCCGGCCAAGCCTGGGAACATCCTTCTTCTGTTAATGTTGTGGACGGACCTCCTAGCGGTCCTACTTTTAGATAACATTAACATTACCTATCCTCGATAGTAAAGTTTTTACAGTTTTCATGTTTTCTAATTTAACATTTCGATTTGTAAATCATATTAATCATAGATGTCTCAGCGACTATCATTGATCGAAAAATTGTAGTCGAGTCCTCAAGAAGAATATTGAATTACTGAATAAAGATCCGCATAGAAGCGATGTTCGTAAACAGCAGATACGACTTTATTGTTCTGATTCGAGATCTTCATTGGCAGCTGTAAACAAGATTTTGTAAATTTATCCATCGTCATGTTGGCATCTTTTAAGCAATGTTGTTATATTTGTCAAGCTTCGGTTGATTCCGAAACACGTCTAACATGCCCTCTCGATTCTGTTTCAGATACATTTAATTATAGGCAATTGTTATTATAATTTTGTTTTTATTGTACACGTTTACCATTATGCTTTTTTATACCGTATAAATAAACAAAATACTTAAAAAATAACGCCTGATTCTTTTATTTTTTTTTATTTAGGTATTTGTAAAAACTGTGATGTCTCAAGATACAATACAAATCTGTCAAGCTGTCGAACCTATCATAAATATGGATAAAAAAATATCATTGCTGTGAATCTGGTGTGTGTAATTACATAATATAAAATCGATATGAAAAATATAAAAAATTTAGAATTGTGCAAATCCTCAAACAAATAACAAAATGGACAAGTTCTTCAAAAAGTAGACATAGCTGATATTGGTTTAACAACGACTAAAAGTGGACGTGCTACATATATATGTATATCTATCTATATTTTATTCTTTACACGGGTGAACGAGTTCATGGCCCGCCTGGTCTTATGGATTTCCGAAGCTCAGAGACATAAAGAGCGGCAATACCGCCACCCATCCTTTTTTTTTCTCTCCTATCTATGCTGATAGCCTTGAGAAGCTATTTCAGCTTCTCCTTGACGCGTAGGTAAGCTCACAGGCCTCAAACCGGGAGTGTTGCTGACAATGGCCCTAGAAAGAGCAGTTCTTGGGTGAATCTACCACCGGATCGGAAACGCGACCCACTGAGAAGATCAGGCGAGAAACTCAGTGGGCTGTGTTTATGGGTTAATTCACTTGTCGAGACCGTCGTCGCTTGCGACGGCTTCGACGAGGACGGTGATCGGTGCTTGTGGTACATAAAAGTACCGTTAATGGATCGGGAGGATCCGTAATGACGTGTTTAGGGCGACGTCGACTGTTTACCATTCCCATACCATACCACAGGATTGGGTATGGGCACCCTTAGACATGAGTTCTAAGTCTCAGTTCTAGACGGTTGCTCCAACATTGCTAAATTGGAACACGTTAATGTTACATGGTACAAACAAGCAGAGTGGTGGCCTTTTACTGGTCGTAAGGCATCTTGCAGGCCCGCACGGGTCGCACTTGTACTGTAAAACTGTCACTTAGAACTCATGTCTCAAGGCTGTGGAGTGTGGACGGCATTTACGTTGTAGACGTACCTATTTGGGCTCCGGTAAGCACTTCACACCAAGTGGGCCGTGAGCTTTTCTACATAAATGAAAGCAAAAAAACAATTGTTTTTATTATTATTTATATATATTTATTTAAAATCTTATTAATTACACAATATTAAAAAAAAAAGATAATAAAAATACAATTTTTAAAAAACACTATATAAAAATAGATTGCCGCTGATGGCGCCACAGCACACCAAGACAAATCCTGAGTCTCTGTGTGGTGCGTATAAGCTCCAATTCACGTTTTATAAGCGGAACGTTAGAGTGGCCAATTAAAAAGCGTAATCAAATCGCATATTTACGTCACAATACGCTTTACGTTTATGGATTAGAAATTCTGCGTCTACCTATCGCGTATACATATTAATAATTAAATTTCCAATGTGCCTGTTAACACTGGTGGTAGGACCACTTGTGAGTCCGCACGGGTGAGTACCACCACCCTGACTATTTCTGCCGTGAAGCAGTAATACGTTTCGGCTTGAACGGTTGGGCAGCCGTTGTAACTATACTGAGACTTTAGTACCTACTCATATCTCAAGGTGATGTTTGAAGGTTCGTTGAATTCCAGCAGAAATGTTTTCGTAATCTAAGAGCCCTTCTTGGACTAACCAGACTAGATTAGATACACCCATTAAAATTTGCATTTCGTCTTTGTACTTTATTGGCGATCACTTTATCAGGAGATAGTGGTTGCTGGGAAACAGCTAAGAAATAACAGATCTACAGGGGATGATGGAATCAGTACAGACTTGTTGAGGGCAAGTGGTACACCAGTTCTCAACCAATAATGCCAACGTTCAACACCGTCATCCAAAAAACGACTACACCGGAAGCTTGGAGCAAGGGTACCTACTGTTCCCTTTAAGAAGAAAGACCGTGCTCTGCTCAAGAACTACAGGCTTATTTAACTTCTTACCCATATTTATAAGCTGTTCTCGAGAGTCCTTACAATCGCTTGGCCTCTAGACTTGACGAGTTCCAACCTCCGAAGCAGGCTGGGTTTCGCAAAGGCTACAATATGGCAGACAACATCCATACGCTGAGACAGGTTATTTAGAAGACTGAAGAATACAAACGTTCTCTGTGTCTCGCGTTTGTGGACTGCGAAAAAGCCTTCGACTCCGTCGAAGCTTGGGCTCTTCTGGAATACTTACAGCGATGCCTAGTCGATAATTGGTACTTTGAGGTGTTGAAGAGTTTATATAAAGCCGCCAAAATCACAGTCCAGATCCAAAACCAGCTGACAAACCTGATTGAGCTTCACAGAGGGGTGCGAAAGGTTGATGTTATATCGCTGAAAGTGGCCGAAACTGTTCACTGCTGCTCTCGAGGATTCCTTCAAGACTGGACTGGAGCAAGCTGGGCATCAATGTCAATGGCTAGTATCTCTCACACTTCCGATTTGCGGACGATGTCGTTATAATGGCAGAGTAACTGGAGGATCTCAGCTGTATGCTAGGTGAGCTCAATGCGGCGTCGCGACGAGTTGGCTGGGAATTAATCTGGACAAAACTCAGGTCATGTTCAACGACCAATCATTTCTGGACCAATAGTAGTCGAATCCGCGGTACTCGAAGTTGTGTCTGAATATACCTATCTAGGTCAAATTGTTCAGCTAGGCAGGGCCAACTTCGAGGAGGAAGCTAATAGGCGCGCGCATACAGTTGGGTTGGGCTGCATATGGAAAACTCCGTCATATCTCGAATTCAGCAATTTCGCAATACTTAAAGACAAAAGTCTTCAACGCTTGCGTACTGCTGATCATGACATGTGGCGCTGAAACGTGGACATTGACCGTAGGTCTGGTCCGTAAGTTCAAAGTCGCTCAGCGTGCTATGGAAAGGTGCTCGGAGTTTCTTTGATGGATCGAGTCAGAAATGAGGAAATCCGTCAACGAACCAAAGTAACTGACTTAGCCCTAAACATTAGCAAGCTGAATGGCAATAGGCCAAACATACATGTCGCAAAACCGATGGCCGATGAGCAGACGCGTTCTAGACTGGAGACCACGTACAGGTAAGCGCAGCGTTGGGCGTCCCCCTGCCTGGTGGACCGATGACTTGCGGCGATAAGTATGCTGGGAAAGATTGAATGCGGAAGGCGGAGGATCGTTCATTGTGGCGGACTATGGGAAAGGCCATAGGTCATAGGGCACTGCCACTACATCCAGCAGTGGAGAGATACAGGCTGATGATGATGACTATTGGCCGCAGAAGAACAACAAAACAAGAAGCAGAAAGTGCACCGATGGGACCGATATGTCGGTTTATCTTGTAGAGAAAATATGCTGAAATACTTCTAATTAATCGCTATGTATTAAGCCATGTAACATAGTTCCAGAAAATGTATTTGAAACAGGTAGGAAGTAGTTTTGTCTTTCATAAACACAAATGAAATAATAATATCTTTATTTTCTTAATTCACATAATCTTGCTTTGCAAATAGAACGTAAAAAGTATACAATTTAAGAATCATTCATTCATGCTGATATAAACCGTTTTTTTTTTGTTGCTTTGATGGGTGGACGAGCTCACAGCCCACCTGGTGTTAAGTGGTTACTGGAGCCCATAGACATCCACAACGTAAATGCGTCACCCACCCTGAGATACAAGTTCCAAGGTCTCATGTATAGTTACAACGGCTGCCCCACCCTTCAAACCGAAACGCATCACTGCTTCACGGCAGAAATAGGCAGGGTGGTGGTACCCACCCGCGCGGACTCACAAGAGGTCCCACCACCAGTAAAAATGTTGTTATATTTTGTCAGATTTTGTTATATCTGAATAAAACTACACGTATTTCCGAATTTCAACTTTGTTTATTTTGATAACGCAAAAAATAGTTATTAATTTTTGTTAAGATCGGCAATTTTATAAATATCGCAAATATTCTTTGGATAAGTCAGATAATACTTATGTTTCACACAATTTTACAGAGCACTTCGTAATTCTTCATGGGGATTTCTTCGCCTCCAAAGGAGATATAGCAACATCCGTGGCTGGGATGAACCTTAAAAATAAAGACATAAAAACTTGTTATTTAAAATGAAAAATTTCTGATTAATTAATAAATATTTCGGAAATTATATTCTATATAAATGAATTGTATTTACATATGAGTCTGTATATTTTAATTATCGCCCTATAGCTTGATTTAAGTCTGAATACTGAGTACCCTTCAAAACGTACCCATATTATTTTGTATTAAATATTCCTTTATTTAATATGTACTGGTGTATTTATATATGTATGTAAATACATAATTATTACGAGCTGCAGTTTTGCCTGTCTTGAGAAATTTAAAAATCAAGTCATATTATTTTTCTCTTTTCATTGACAACTTTAATTAAATGTACCTAAATCAGATAGACATTTCAATATTTATATCACTGTGATATGATTATAGCAATGGTAACAAACCTTCCCAGGTGTAACAGATTTCAGGTGGTTGACCCTGGCAATATACAAGGGTTCTCCGCTATGAGAGTTGCCAGCTGGAATCGCACCTACAGGAACTTGACCGTTGGATGCTGGTACCCAACGTAGGACGTTTCCAGGAGCACAGAGAACCTATAAAATTTAACCAATTATGTATGTAATGGAATAATAAATTGATATACATTCACGTGTCATTCGCGAGTGGTCTCCGCTATAAAAAAGTAACATTGTATTGTAAAATATAAAACTACAAAATATAAATCTATCTATATAATATATAAAAATGAATTGCTGTTCGTTAGTCTCGCTAAAACTCGAGAACGGCCGGACCGATTTGGCTAATTTTGGTCTTGAATTATTTGTGGAAGTCCAGAGAAGGTTTAAAAGGTAGATAAATATGAAAATTTTGGGAATTAAATAAAAATAACAATTTTGTTTTTCCTTTGATGCGTCCCCCGTCGGACGAATTCCTTTTGTTTGTTTTAAGTTTATTTTATACAAAAGTTTGTACAAAAGAGACACTATGAAGTCTGCCGGGTCACCTAGTTGTCTATAATTATCTATAATAATATTAATTAATTTAAAATCTGCGTTACCGTTATCTGCGTACTGTAAGCCCAAAGGGTATTAATTAATTATTACTTCTGCTGCGAGGCCTCTGCGAGCATATTTCTATGAAATTCAGATTTCTATCGGTAGTCTTAACGTGGCTAGAGCTTCTTTGAGTTTTATGTTTCGATAACCGTATAATAACGGCCGTCTGGTGTAGTGGTAAGTGACATGGTCACTACACAAGGGGGTCGCGGGTTCGAATCCCGCCAAGGGAAGATATTTGTATGATAAATATAAATATAAATAAATAAAAAAATATGTAGGTATAAGATCCTATTTTTTGTGTTTGAGAGATTACTGGTGGCCTGGAGGCCTTTCCAGGCATAGTTTTACCAGGGCAGGTGGGCGTGCAGAGGGCTCAGCCAGGAGGAGTGGGGTTTGCTAACAGCTACCCGAGCGCCTCCAAAGGAGACCTAACAACTCAGGAGTAGCTAGCTGCTTCGTGAATGATCAGCCCACTGAGTTTCTCGCCGGATCTTCTCAGTGGGTCGCGTTTCCGATCCGGTGGTAGATTCTGCGAAGCACTGCTCTTGCTAGGGACAGTGTTAGCAACTCTCCGGTTGAGTCCCGTGAGCTCACCTACAAACGTTAGGGTGAAGCTGAAATAGCCTCTCAAGGCTATCAGAATAGGTAGGAAAAAAAAAAGCGAATGATCTCCTACTGGATCGGAATCGCGACCCGCTGAGAAGATCCGGCTAGAAAGTCAGCGGGCTGATGTTTATGTTAAGTTGCACGTCGAACTCTTTGTCGAGATCGACGACTACGGTTATCAGGGTCCCTACTCCTAGTTGACACATTTAGATTCTGACGATCTAAAGGTGTCTAATGCAAGGGTTATTGGATCTGATGGATCCCTAAAAACGTGTAATATCCTATGTAAAGTACATATAATATATAATCCTATCACCATTTTTGTTGTTTTACAAGTTTTTTTTTATATTGCGTAATTAGGTGGACGAGCTCACACCTGATGTTAAGTGGTTACCGGAACCCATAGACATCTACAACGTAAATGCCGCCACCCACCTTGAGATATGAGTTCTAAGGTCTCAGTATAGTTATAATAGCTGCCCCGCCCTCCTAACCGAAACGCATTACTGTTTCACGACAGAAATAGGTAGAGCGGTGGTACCTTCCCGTGCGGATAAAATAAGTTAAGTGAGATTTGTAATTTTGAAAAAAAAGCTTATCTGTAAAGAGCTTAGTACATTTTACCGGCGATATTTATTTACCTCAAAGTTATGGACAGGGACTTCTTTTCCCGCGTGAGGTATGTAAGCCCGGTGTTTAATGGCTAGTTTCCCGGTTACTACCCTTTACAGATCATAGGTATTGGCTCAATGTTTTGTAGTCTTTAAAGCGTTTTTTTTTTCTCTATCTATTTGCTAGTAGTCTAAGGAACTATTCCAGCTACCCTCGCACGGGAACGATATTATAGTCTCGCGTCTAAATACATCGGTAATCTTGTCTGTAACTCCCGGAGATAAATAACATAACTGACCCGGGTGATATCTGCCATTGTTCTGTCTTTGTCACAGGGAGTTCAAAGCATGTGTGATACAGCAGGGTGAGCTTCAGGTATGAACATTTTACCGGCGATATTTATTTACCTCAAAGTTATGGACAGGGACTTCTTTTCCCGCGTGAGGTATGTAAGCCGATCGGTGTTTGATGGCTAGTTTCCCGGGGATCAGTTCTCCGCTATGATGCGATCTGATCACCCAGAGAGGGCTGCCATCCCAGCCTTCTCTACCAGCCACGAATGCTCTATGTGTGAGTGTTGAAGCAGTGTTGGGCGATGACTGAACCCATTCAATTGGGTTTGAATCTGTAATATTATTATTGTATGAAAATTTCATAATAAAATTTTCTCTCGAATTCTACAATACAACAGCTTTAGTAGTTGGCATGTGAGTTATATTTCTTGAAATTTTTATCACTTTTATCAGTACAGATTCCCCTTTCATGTGAATTAGTGTCTATCTTATCTTTCTTTTTTGAAATTGTAACTTAACCACTACCTATATGCTTTATTTATTAGATAATTAATTTTAAGAATCTTGTCTTAGAATATGTTTATTTATTTATTTATTTTTTATTGCTTAGATGTGTGGAAGAGCTTACAGCCCACCTGGTGTTAAGTGGTTATTGGAGCCCATAGGCATCTACAACGTAAATGCCGCTACCCACCTTGAGATATTAGTTCTAAGGTCTCAGTATAGTTACAACGGCTGCCCCACCCTTCAAACCGAAACGCATTACTACTTCATTAGTGATTCAGGGCAGAAATAGGCAGGGTGGTGGTGTGAGTCCCCTTGTGAGAGAATAGATCCTACCACCAGTAAACCTATTCTTCATAATCTATACGTATTAAAAGAATTGCATTCCGAACGTTCATTTTGAAGAATTTAAGCTGTGAATATGCTACCTTAGAGACTTGTTGGATAAGGTAACTTCATCGAGATTTAGTACACAGACTTTTAATTCGTGTATCGTAATAGGTTACCTTCGACAACTCTGACTGGGTCCGGCGTAGTCGTAGCAGGTGGCGGTGGAGGCGCATGGGGATAATAATAATTAGTGACGTAAGTGGGGTTCGGTGTTGGATCAGGTGCAGGCGGCGGGTACATCGGCATCATCACTGGAGCCGGCATGGGTATATACGCGAATCCTCCAGGATGGGGTGGATAACCATAGGGCGGCGGAGGTGGAGGACCATTCGGTGGAACTGAAATCATTAAAATATATTTTGTTAGTTAATCGAATTTGAAATATAATTTAGGACCACCTGCAATCGAAAATAAGACCAGAATATCGATTTTCCTACATCGAGAATATATCGATAATATCGAATCCATATGGATTTTGCGATGTCTATACATCACAACGTGAGTACTGTTTTCCGTCTTCAGGTGTAGTCCGATTTGCATTAGAATAATAATAGTTGCCTTCAAATTAGCAGAACTAAAGAATTCTAAGTATTTTTGATGTTTCTTATTATATGTAATTTCAAGATAAATGTGCGATCGAACGGATTGAAAAACAATTTTCTAGTAATTTTAAGCGTGAGATATTTTAACAAGAACCAGATATACGTAGGTACATCAGAGAATCCGAAAACAAAGGTTCTGTTTGTACGTACGACAGGTAGACAAAGAGCTAGCATTAACTATATTATTGCGTAACAATTTTAAAGACGATATATTATTATAGGTACTCACTGTTCGACATTTTTGTTTAGAGATACGTTCACTTATTTTAGAACCGCACAGAAGTCAATGTTTTTTATGATGGTAAGACAATCATACAATTTGAACTGCGAATGTGGACTCAAACACTCATATATTTGTTTCAAGTGACTCACGCGATTCATAGCAATGGAACGCAGAAAGTTAGATGTAAGTATTGATTAGATAAACGTTATCAAGTAGACCGAATAACATATTATTCAGCTACATATAAATTAATTTCAAACAATGAGGACAAATTGAAAACTGTTTTGCTTGTGATAAAGCCTATGATGGGCCCTTGTGGCTAATTAATATTATTTTACCTATTAGAAAAGCAGTGCTACCCTTTACAGATCATAGGTATTGGCTCAATGTTTTGTATAGTCTATAAAGCGATTTTTTTCTCTACCTATTTGCTGGTATCGTAAGGAACTATTCCAGCTACCCTCACACGGGAACGATATTATAGCCTCGCGTCTAAATACATCGCTAATCTTGTCTGCAACTCCCGGAGATAGATAAGATAAATAACCCGGGCGATATCTGCCATTGCTCTATCTTTGTCACAGGGAGTTCAAGGCATGTGCGATACAGCAGGGTGAGCTTCAGGTATGAACTTCATTTGAACTTGTATGGGAGCGAGTGCGCGACGCTACCTGCGCCATAGTGCGCTGCGTAACGGCAGCTCTACCATTCCCGATCTTGCGAACAGAATGGAAAGCAGTCGACGTCGCCCAAATCACGTCATTTTGGATCCTTCTGATCCACTAACGGTGCTTTTAGGTACCTCAAGCACCGGTCATCGTTCTTATCGAACGAACGACGTTGCGATGAAGGGCTCGACGAGTAAATTAACCCACAGACACGGCCCATTGTGTTTCTCGCCGGATTTTCTCAGTGGGTCACGTTTCTGATCCGGTGGTAGACTCTGTGAAGCACGGCTCTTGCTAGGGTTCGTGTTAGCAACGTCGTCAGGTTTGAGCCCCGTGAGCTCACCTAATAGTTAAGGTTACGCTAAAATAGCCTCTCAAGGCTATCAGATTAGTAGAAAAAAAAAGCAGCTCTACGGAACTTCTTGCGAGCAACCCGACAGGCTGGTTCTGATCTAGCAGGGTATTCCGGAAGATTAACGGTACCGCTTGGGGTGGCTTGATAGGCTACCCAGAGGGTCGTTTTTTTTTTTTTTTTTTTATTGCCCTTGTAGGCAGACGAGCATACGGCCCACCTGATGGTGAGTGGTTACCGTCGCCCATGGACTTCAGCAATGCCAGGGGCACAGCCAAGCCTAGCCTACCGCTTAATACTCTCCACAAGCCTCGTTTGAAGAAGGACATGTCATGTACATGGGTACTTTCGCCCCGAGGATTCGTTGGTCGAGCGTCACAGGGGTGGCAATGCGAGTCTAGTGGTAGTGTTGACCCCCTAAGCCCCCTACTCTGGCTGGGTTCTGATTCTGGGCAGAGATCGGACGTTGTTCGAGAGAGTGCTAGGGGAGTCGTTTGATGGGTAAAGCTCTAAAAATATCCTCGGGCCCAACACCAGCAGACCATCAAGTTCCACATACCCCACGTGCCCCTTGAGTACAGACACCTCGTATGAGGTTCGGACCCTTACCTAATTTTGGGTCACTTCTGTAGATGTTGTTACCGATAGTGACGTCAATAATAAAGAACTTATACACAGTAATGAAAGACACCGTTTATTCCGTAAGATGGTACATGTGTTTACATAAAGACCGGCGCCGGGCAACTGGTGCAGCGTAATGCAATAATTGCATGCGCAAGAGCTTACGTGTAAAACCTACACCTAAAAAATAAATAAAAAAATACATGTGTGCAATTCACACGTGGTAGAAGTGAAACCTTCCAAAATTAAAATACAATTATCCTAAACGTCTTAAAATTTTGTCGTTAGTAAATAATTGTAAGGTAGCGCCCTCTGTGAATTGATATTTTAATTTCACGTATAATCCTAAATTAATATTCACTACAAGAGCTTTCATACACACGTTAGTATTAAAAAAATCTCACAGATGGCGCTGTATTAAATAGTATGTATATTTCTGTCTCATTCTTTTGTATTTGTGTCACTTACCTGTCGTTTTTTCCGTTGCATCCGGTTTGAAATCACAACGATTCTAAAGAAGATTTCACTTCAAAAAATACGTTTGATCCTTGATAGTTCATAAGTTATTAAATTTTACGCCTTCTCACGACTAACAATAAAATTATATGAATTTCAAAAACATTGAAGATATTGCGATGTTTGTAACGCCTGATGAAAATATACGAAGTGTATTTTGATAAATTTTATTACAGCGCCTGATAAAATGCATCTAGTAAATTTATAAAGTTGAAATATGAGGAATATTGTTTTAATAAGGATTAAATTCGTTAAACTATATAATCAGTTTCCCGTACCTTCCACTTCTTTGCCTTATTCATTATTTTTTGAAGTCGTCGTGGCCTAAATGATAAGACGATCGGTGCATTCGTGTTGAGCGATGCACCGGTGTTCGAATCTCAGGCGGGTACCAATTATTCCAATAAAATACGCACTCAATAACTGTTCACGATTGACTTCCACGGTGAAGGAATAACATCGTGTAATAAAAATCAAAACCCGCAAAATTATAATTTACGTAATTACTGGTGGTAGGAGCTCTTGGGAGTCCGCACGGGTAGGTACCACCATCCCGCCTATTTCTGCCGTGAAGCAGTAATGCGTTTCGGTTTGAAGGGTGGGGCAGCCGTTGTAACTATACTGAGACCTTAGAACTTATATCTCAAGGTGGGTGGCGCATTTACGTTGTGGATGTCTATGGGCTCCAGTAACCACTTAACACCAGGTCGGCTGTGAGTTCGTCCAACCATCTAAGCAATAAAATAAAAAAAAACAGTCCTGTACATGACACTGACAAAGCGCAACTTCCTTCTTCATCTAGACTTTAAATCGTCATTTCGGACCATGAGCCTAACTTATGGCTTTAAACAAAATTACAGCTCAAACCTTAGATTCTGGTTTTAAGAAAGGAACATTTGTGTAGTTCATTAATTTATTTATAATGTATTATTTTATTCACTAAAAAAAAAAGTTTAGCCTAGTAAAACTATAGCACAAACTGAGTTGCTTTATATTCAAAATACCATTTACGTCACGTGTATCTATATATTAATACGTGAAGCAAAAACTTTGTATCCCTTTTTACGAAAATTGCGCGGACGGAGGAGTATGAAATTTTCCACACTTATAGAGAATATAGAGAAGAAGTGCACAATGCTAATATTTTTTTTAAATAATGTATAACAGATACATTAAATCAATAAAGAAAACATTACACACACTACATACCATGTATTTGACGCACACACGTATGCATACAATTTATTGTCAAACTTTTGTTCTTGACGTCTGTTGTCAAATTGAGATTAAATATTGTTTGTCTTTGTTAATATTTTTTAATTTGGCGAAATTTGTGATTATAGAAGTATAAAATACAATCATAATAGTGTACAAACTTACAATTCCAATTAATTAGGTATAGTCGAATTTCGACTACTGCGGGACCTCTAGTATAGATTACATATTTATAACTTATTTATCAATATTAGTGATATATAAGTTTTTGAACAGAGAACAGTATACTTATTAGTGATGTTGATCCTATTATAAGTTCGCTCGAATCTTGCTTTTTCTGATCGTTCCAGTTTGATGAACCTAACCGCTGTTTATTAGCTGCATAGAAATAAAATTAACTTACAGTGATTGAAAGCAATAAACTTGGTCCTTATTTTATTTTGTTTGAAAAAGGATGAACTAAGTAAGTCCTATGTTTGTAAAAACACTTGTCCTATGTACTCTTCCAGTTCTTATTTGTTTTGTTTTTTACTATTTTATTAACCATCCAATTACAAGAAAATATCTCATATTTATCAGTGTCGGTATGCTAAATTATCATAGATCACGAAATCAGTAGATTTTGCAGATAGATTAACACCTTCACTGCGGAACAGGCTCATATTGGCACGCCGCGGCGCCGCGGTATCTTCAGCTGGTGTGGACGAAAAAAAATATATGTCCCTATCGCTGATGCGGACCGATTATTTCAGGTCTTAGTAAGAATTTGATACCGATAACTATATACTATAAGTTCTCGTAAAGTTATAGCATTTAAATCTACCCTAGTGCTGGTGGGCCGAGAAAGACCAGTGACGCACTGATAGAAATATCGTTAGGGGCGCATTTCGATCCGCAGCCGCATCAGTTTTTTATTTTTATTTTTTTTTATTGCTTAGATCTGTGGACGAGCTCACAGCCCACCTGATGTTAAGTGGTTACTGGAGCCCATAGACATCTACAACGCAAATGCGCCACACACCTTGAGATATAGTTCTAAGGTCTCAGTATAGTCACAACGGCTGCCCCACCCTTCAAACCGAAACGCATTGCTGCTTCACGGCAGAAATAGGCGGAGCGGTGGTACCTACCCGTGCGGACTCACAAGAGGT